CCGCGCTCCTCGGGAAAAGGCGGATGCACAAAAAGGGGGAATATCAAAATGATCTCGTTTCTGTCTCTCCTCGGTCTCCTATGGAACAAAGGACAGATGGGAACAAGAAAGGAAGGAAAAAAGCATCACCTGTTCCCATCCAGTCCTGGAGCGATCCGGTCATTATCTCGGAGCTTCACATTTCCAAAGGGGCTTCATTTTCCTTTGAAACACTGGCATTTTGTTAAAAAAAAAAAAACCAAAAACAACAACAAAAAAAACCCCAGAAAAAATCTGAATTTAAGCATTCTAACATCCCCCCAGTCCAAAGGGGTTTTCCATGCTTTTCCCCACAGCCTCCAGTTTAACACCTGGGAAAAGAAAGTGGGAAGGAAATCCAAGGAAAAGAGAAAGAAAGGGCCCCCCCAAGGGCGGCTTTTCCCGATCTGCATCCGACAAAAGCCTTTGGTTTTCTGTCATTCTTTTCATTTCCTTGCTGGCTCCCCCAATTGTCAAAGCCCTCAAGGAAATGCACTTTAGCTCTTTGTCCCCAAATGTAATTTGATAAACTCCGGGCAGAAACATTTGTGTTTCGGAGGCTTTTCAGAAAAAAAAAAAAAAAAAGAGGAAAAAAGGGTAAAATAAAGGAAAATAAAGGGGTGGAAGAAAGGGGGAAAAGGGGAAAAATAGGAGGGAAAAAGAAGAAAATAAGAGGGGGGGAAAGGGGAAAAATAAGAAGGAAAAAAAGGGAAAAATAGAGTGGGAAAAATGAGAGAAAAGAGGAGGAAAGAGAAGAAAAATGAGGGGGGAAAGGAGAAGAAAGAAGGGGGAAATTATCAAATAATGAAAGGGAAAAAGAAGATAAAGGATAAAAAGAAGAATTGAAAGAAGGGAGAAATGAGGGGGAAATAAGAAAAAAGGTGATGAGGGAGAAAAAGAAGAATAAAAGAAGGGAGAAAATTAAGGGGAAAAGGGAAAAAAGAAAAAATAGATAAAGGAGAAGAAGAAGAAGGAAAAGAAGGGACAAAATGAGGGGAAAAAAGAAGAAAAAAAGGGATAAAGAAGAATAAAGAAAAGAAGGGACAAAAATTAGGGGGGAAAGGGGGAAAAGAATTTTTAAAAAGGAAAATAAGAGGGAGAAAATAAGAAAAAGAAGAGAAGAAAAAAGAAGGAAAATAAGAGGGAAGAAAAAAAAAAAGGGAAAAGGAAGAAAAACCCCCAGAAGGGGTAAAAGTGGGGGAGCCCCTGTTGAAGAATCTCTTGGAGCCTTTGGAATTTACAGAGCGGGATTTTGGGAGCGGGGTGATGGAGCCAAGGCCGGAGTCTCGGGGAAGGAAGCCTGACATTGTCATCATCCCTAAATCCTTGGGAATCCTCATTTTCCAGCGGCACTTTCCCCCCTGTGGGCGGGGACCACCGCGGCTCCCACGCTATAAAACGCTCCGGGTTTTCCCGGGAGTGGGGAGCGGCCGCCGGGGCCAACGTGGGCTTGGAGGTTGGGTGAGTGGTAAAAATAATCTGGATTTTCTTCCCAGGGATTTTTCCAGGTGGGGGTTTGGGGTTCGGGGTGCTGCCGCATCCAATCGCGCTTGAAATCCTGGAAAATCCGCGGCGCTTCCCGTGGGATCTGCCAAGGGGGTGGTGGTGGTTTGTTCATCCAGAGGGTGGGAAAAGTGGTGATGACAATTCCCCAATTTCAGTGCAGGGATGGAAAGGCGCCTGGTTTGAAAAATATTTTGGGATGGAAAGCCTTAAACCAGGAATAAGGGCCTGTTCCCAGCCGTGGGAAGTGCTGGAATTCCGCTTCCAGCGGGAGAAGCGGCTCCCAAAACCCCAGCAGAGTTTTGGAGGGGAAAGAGCAAAATTGAGGAAAAAGTAAAAATTAATTGGGAAGTTTGGGGGATAAGGGGAAAAAGCTGGATTTTGGCTGCAAAAAATTCCAGTCAGGGGATTGGGTGCAAAAAATTCCAGCTGGAAGTTTGGCTGCAAAAAAAATTCGGGTTGAAAGTCTGGATGCAAAAATTCCAAGCTGAGGTTTGGATGAAAAAAAAATCCAGTTGGAGATTTGGGAGCAAAAATTCAATAAAATTGGAGAGTGAGTTAAGGAATGAAATATTTTTGGATATAAATTCCTGGGATTGTGGAAGTTGCCCCTGCCCAGGACACGGGGTTGGAATGGGATGTTTAAGGTCACTTCCAATCTGGAATTCCCTGATTTTCATGTCAGGGTTTTCCCAGCTCCTCACTATCAGCCTGGAAGGGGCAGCAGTTCAATTCCAAAGGGGCTGGAGCTGGGATTCCCCTGGAATGCAAAATTCCCTGGATTCTGCCCTCCTGAGCTTCACCTCTGCAGGTGGATGAGGGCAGGAAAGGAGCTTGTGGTGCATCCCAATTATTAAATCAGCTCTGAAACTGTTAATTAATATTAATTAATAAAAATAAACCCCACAATCAAAGCGAAAAAATGGGACCAACATTCCTAATGGATCATAATGAGGAAATCCCAGCTGGAAAATTAAAGAGATTTGGATGAATTGGGGTTTTTTTAAATTTAATTTTTGAAATTACATATGGGATGAAGTAAAAGAAAAAAAAAGTCGTGGTGTGAGACATGAAAATTGAAAATTCCACCTCTGCCTTCCAAGTTTTTCCCAGTTTCCCTTTTGGGAATGTTTTGCCTGGATAAGGAAAGGGGAAATTGGGGTGTGGGGGAAAAAAAAAGGGAAGGGATGTGAGGAAGCCTCAGAGAAGGGGAAAAATAAATGTAGATTTTAGAGGGGATTTTGGGAAAGGAAAAAAATTTAAAAGGAATTAAAAATTAATATTACCTGGAAGCGCCTCTGGAATTTTCTCAGGGAATCCAATCCGTCCGTGCGGCCGAGGGGGTGCAGCTGCCTGTGCCAGGGAGCGGAAAACAGGGAAGGGAAATTCCCACTGGGAAGTTCTGTGTGCAGGGAGAGACCCCAGCACCTCCTTTGGAATTAGCTGGGGGGGGCAGAGCTTCCCTAAATTCCCTGGGAATGGGGAAATCCCGGGAATGCTGCTCCGGGTACAACCTCCGGGACTCTCTGCTGCTCTCTCCAGCTGGAATTGAACAGCACTGGGAATTTCAGGGACTGCAGGGACAGCATTGCCCACTCCTGGCACGGGAAATCCCAGGAAATTTGAGGGCAAAAAGGGAATTTTGGTGCTTTATGGCCCAGGCAAAGAGAGCCTGGAGGAAGCTTTTCCTACGGGAAGGTTGTTCCCTCCTGAAATTCCCTGTTTTTCCCAGTTTAGGAATTCAGGGTCTTGTTTGTGTCACAAAATTGGACTCCGGGGTCCAACCCTGTGGGAAAAGTGGGATTGAACCCCGGGATTTGGGGTTGGTTCAGCCCCAAACCCATCCTGGGGGAGGAGATCCCAGCATTCCCATTCCCCATGGGAAATCCGGTGGTGCCATCGCCCCTCTCCCTTCTGGAATTGTCACTCCCCCGGTGCTTTCTCCACCCCATTTGTGATTTCACGGCTCCTTGGCTTTGTTTGGGGATGATGAAACTCCCCAGGCTCCAGGAAAAGTTGGGAATGCTGTGGCTGCATCCCACGGACCTTGCTCGAGCTCCAGGTCTGACCTTGGAAAAGCCTGGATTTAATTCCAGAGGTGGGAATCTGCCCCAAGAGAAACCCTTTTAACCCCACAAATATTTCTTTTTAGGCTTTCCCACTTTCTCCTTTAATTTCTAGTAGCAGGAAAAGAAATATTCGATATTTCCATAAAATTCTTATGGAATTCGGTGCCAGTGGCTCAACCCTTCCCATTTCCCTGCTCCTCAGAGGGGCTTTTCCACACACTTGGAAAGATTTTGGGGCAGGAATTCTGCTGCTTTGGGGAGGCATCCAGGGATGGATTTTTCCATGGAAAAGGAAGGAGGAGGGAAGGCTGGGAATTCCAGGGGGTGTTTTCCACTGGGGTCAGGGATCATTTTGGGGAAGTGTTTAGGGAAGGAGTTTTGGGAAGGCGCTTCGGGAAGGTGTGAGATGCTCAGAGCAAGTTTTTGGGGAAGATGATTTGGGAAGGGGCTTCAGGAAGGGTTGGGAAGATATTTTAGGAAGGTTTTTGGGGAAAGGCATTTTGGGAAGGTGTGAGGCACCTGGAGCAAGTGTTTTAGGAACATTCTTTGGGAACAGTTTTTGGGAAGATGCTTTAGGACGGTGTTTTGGGAAGGTGCATTGGGAGACCGTGAGGTGCTTTGGGAAGATCCCTTTGGGAGTCACTTTGGGCAAGAATTTTGGGAAGATATTTTGGGAAGGGGCTTCAGGAAGATGCTTTGGGAAGGGGAGTTAGGATAGTGTGAGGGGCTTTGGGAGCCACTTGGGGCAAATATTTTGGGAAGACACTTTGGGAAGGGACTCGGGAAAAGTATTTGGGGAAGTTATTTGGGGAGGCTTTTTGGGAATGTTTTTC